TGGAGTAAGGGAAGCGTGGCTACACAATTTCTTCTTTTTTTTTTTTTTATTTATTTGAGAGAGAGAGAGAGAGAGAGAGAGTGTGTGGTGTGTGTGTGGCCAGCTCAGCCCACCAGGGGGCGGGGCTGGCTGGCATGTGGTGCTGGGGGATTGAACCGCGGTCCCTGATGCTTTGCCAAGCTTGTTCTAAGTAGGTGCTTTAGACCACTGAGCCATCTCTCCAGCCCCCACAATTTCTTCTTGAGATGATGAAAATGCCATGAAATTAGATGGGGATGGTCACAAAACGTTGTGAATGTACTAAAGAGGTCATTTTCATGGTATATGAATTATATTACAGTAAAGCTGCTATGAAAAATAGATAGCCAAAATGGCTTCAGTTTTCTGACAGGAATTCTTTTCCTTATGTGACAAAATGCTTTCCCAAGAATGCTGATGGTTTCATGAGAGGAGTATAGTAGTAGAACTTGCTATTATCTCTCCTGGCACATCTAAGGCAGCACTCCCGGACAAGTAGGAATACAGTGACTAAGAATGCACTAAATATAGATCCTAATAAGCTCAGAGCTGTTTCCTACTGGAAAGGAAGTTCCCCTAGACCTGAAATGTATAACTGGAAGCATCAAAAGACTAGCTATCTGAACGTGTCCACTGCTTGCCATTTGGGGAAGTGTGTGCCACCACAGGACAAATCCCATTTTAATTTATTCCCGTGGAAATTGCAGTGTAACCAAATATTTCTAAAATATCAGTTATTTAAAGTAATATACATGATAGAATGTTAATACTGTAAGATAAATAGTGTCATCTCTTGGGATTGATATAACAGATATTACGCCTACTTTTTTTCCAAAGGTACTTTAGTTGTCTTGTCTCTTATTACTCTATAATCAACAGGCCTTTTAAAAATTATAATATCTGGACTGGGGAGGAACCTCAGTGGCATAAGTTCCTGCCTGTCAAGCACAAGGTCCCAAGGTCAATCCCCAGTATGGTAAATAAATAAGTGGAATTGTTTTAAAAATGTAGGTAGAAATCTTAAAAACATAGGGGTAAGTAGAGAGTCCATGAAAAAAAACCAAACTGCACAGGAAATACTTCAAAGAATCAACAACTGGGCTCTCGTCTTTTTGAAAAGTTTCTGCATTTCAAAGGAAATCTCCAATAGAGTAAAAAGAAAACCACAAACTAGGGAAAAATTAGAGCTGACTGTCCCTCTGATAAAGGCCTTCTTCTATCTAGAACATACAAAGAATTAAAAAAATTCAAGCCCCTCCCAATTCAAAGAACCAATCCAAAAACGGGCATCTGAGATGACTATATACTTCCCAGAGGAAGAAATATAAATGGCAACTAGCCTTTCAAGGTCAGTGAGGACTCAGGATATAGGAGAACCTGTACTGTAACATCCTGTAATTCAGTGGTGTCCCAAATTTTCTGATCAAGATTATGGGGCCATAGAGGAAAGTGATTGATGATGTACAGCGTGCCTAAGAAGAGTCACATGGAGAGAAAACATTCTCTCAGGCTCTCACAGAAAGCAAATTGATCAAGCAGTGGCCGTGACTCACCCACATGGCTGACACTGAAAAAGGATCTACAAACTGTGGTACAAGGTTTCAGGGTAAATCCTGAGGGGATTTGACTGACCTTGTCAGATACAAAAGTTACATTTCTTGCTATATAGGTCTTGCTTTGTCTTGGTCTTAACCATCCAGTAGAAAAGTGTAAAAATGAAGTATAAAAAATAAAACCATATTAATATGCTGAACTGTAAAAGGCTCAAGTCAACAACTTCTGACATTGCCAGTCTTATGGAAAACCCACTACTATTATGGACTATTGGACTTTATTGGATTATTTTGCTGAATTCACATACCTACAATATTTAAATCACAATGGAATACCCATCTGTGACAAAACTAAACAAAAAAAAAGGGATACAAATAAACGGCCATTTTGTATCTGTATATACAGAATAGTTAGCATAGATATACAGCTACTTTCTCTTAATGAGAAGATTTGTAAAAATAGTGTTTGGACAAGATATCTTGTCTGCATCTTGTACTATGAATAACCACTACGAAGACAACAATATGCAATGTATTAATTATTGAAACTGTCCTAATCGGTTTTGAAACTGTCTCATTGCTATTTGTTTCTCAATAACATCAATAAAAAAATAAGAATATGATACTTAAAGAATTTTAAAAAATATATAAATGGCAAGTAAATATGTGATAAAGTGTTCAACATCATTGGTCGTTCAAGAAATGTAAATTAAATCACAAGTCTGCATCTTGTACAGCAATTAACCACTAAGAAGAATATATGCAGTGTATTATTTGTTGAAACTGTACTTTCGATTTGATTTGAAA